AAGATGCTAGGTTGTTTTTTGTTTGTTTGTTTTTGTTTTGTTTTGTTTTTTGCCGCACTATATCATGGATTGTCCTCTAGTCATATGGTTTCTTTTTCTCATCCAAAACCTCATGAACCTGGCCTTCATTGTCTATATTTCTGTTAGCCTTCTCCCACCTTTAAGTCCACCTTATATCATGCTTTGGCCTGTGCAGCTCTTACCATCATTTTCCCACAGTTCTTCCTAAATGAATCCCAGATGCTTTAGAACCCTATGGTTAGGCAGCCGCAGTATCTATCTCATGTCTTGACTTCCACTTTTCTGTTAGCTTTTCGTTGCTGTTACACCGAAATAGTGAAACAACTTACTGTGATTTCATGTTCTCTTGGATGTGTTAGGCAGAACGTCATAATGGGATCTGTAGTAGAATAAAGCTGCTTTCTTTGTGGAAACCAAGAAGGAGAAAGACAAGAAGGATCCAGGGCAATATGCAGCCCCTAGTCACCTTATTTATTCTACCTCCTCTAGTTTCCAGTCTCCCCAAATAGCATCCCCAACTGAGGATCAGCTCTTCCACGTATGAGCCTGTGGAGAATATTTTATATTTAAAACCATAAAATAAGCACACGTGTTTTCTGTCACTTGCTCTTGATGCCTTCATGACCTGTACACTTCAGCAAGAAGGCTGTTGGTATATGTGGTCCCTTGACTTTGTACTTTCAGAGCCATTAGTCAAAATAAAGGTCTTTTGGTTTAGACTTACCCAATCTGTTTTATTGTGGTGTTTATAACTGAACGTTAATGAAACAAGGGACGGACAGTTTATTTCTTTTTTCATTTGCATTTTTAAAATAATGAGCCCCACTTTTTTAGTGTGGCCACATTAGGAAGAAGGACAAAGAGATCCATTGAACACCCTGAGTCTAGTTTCTTCTTTCAAAGACTATTTATTTAATGTTTATTTAATATGTTTGAATGTTTTGCTTATATGTATTTATTTGCAGCATGATCATGTCGTGCCTATGAGGACCAGAAAGAGAGCATTAAATCCCCTGGAACTGGAGTTATAGGTGGTTGTGAGCCATCACGTGGGTGTAGGGGTCTGGACCTAGGCCCTGTGCAAGAGCAGCCAGTGAGTGCTCTTAACTGCTGAATCATCTCACTGGTCTCTCACTTGTGTTTTAAAAATCTTTCTCCTACCTACTCTTTTTTTCAAAGGTCATTGTTTTTGAAACTGAACTTCTCTTCTGGTCTGTAGTGTTTCCTATATTGTTCCTTTTAAATCAACAAATAGCACCATTAGGAATCCATTTGCTAATCCAGACATACAAACATGACATTCTTGATGTTTCATTTTTTTCCTCACTTACAGTCAGTTCCCTTTTTGCTAATCTACTATTTTGGAATTGGTCTATATGACTTTGTCATCTTTGATACTCTAATTTAGGTCACCAAAATACTTGCTATTAGTATAATATCTCTTAATTGAACTTTTTGTTTTTTAGATTTATTTATTTTTTGTTTTATGCATATGTTTTGTTGCATGTATGTGTGCATACACATACACACATGCATACATACATGTATGTGTGCATACACAGTGTGCATACCTGGTGCCCATAGAGGCTAGAAGAGGGGAAGGGCTCTGATCCTTCAAAACTGGAGTTATGCATGGGTGTAAGTCATCATTTGAGTCTTAGAAACTGAACTCAGGTCCTTTGCAAAAACAACAAAGGCATTTAGGCATCTTTCCAGTACTTTCTGTTTTTATTATCAACATCTCCATTTCACCACACAGAGACATATGGCAACTTTTGTTTCACATTTTAAAAACATTGAAACAGATGGCTGTAAGCTAATGTAAACAGGCAGTTTTTGTGGAAATTTACAAGCCTGAGTAGTCATAGACCTTGTAAATAGGTAGCCTTGACAGACAATACCAACTTAGATAAGGACAAGTGAGTCATAGGCAGAGTCATAGTGACTTGTCCCCTGAACCTTCACCCAGCCGATACCCGGTTCTGAAGATATCTGTATTCCCCCGAATACCCACGCTCCAGTGTCATTCCCTTCCCCACATCCTGCCTTTCTGTGTGAATGAATTACGATTTGAGAAAAAATAAATTATTTAAAAAAAAAATAAACACAGCCATAGCAAACACACACACAAAAAAAACTTTAATGTGTTTTAATCAGTTTATTATTTGCATTTAAACTGAAGGTATAGCAAGAAATGAATATATTCTATCTTGTTCAAAAGAGAAGAATGTATTAGACTAACCTCCTTAGTAGCTTCTTTTAAAATTAATTCATTTCACTTTATGTGTATACATGTTCTGACTGCATGTATGTCTGTAGACACTTGTGTGCCTCCTGTCCAGGAAGGTGGGAGGAGAGCATCAAATCCCTTTGAACTAGAATTACAGATGGTTGTGAGCTACTATGTGGGTGCTGGAAATGGAACCTGAGTCCTCTGCAATAGCAACAAATTCTCTTAACCCCTGAACCATCTCTCCAGCCCCACCTCAGTAGCTTTTAAGAAGTAATGCTTAGTCTTTTCCCTGGATTAATTTAATCAGAATGGGGAAAGGGTAGAGAAACTTTCAGCAGTACTTAATTATGTTTTAATGCTGGTAACTAAAAGGGAATGAGCACTGTTTGAGGCACATTCTTCCTGTCATTGATTGTCAGTCTTGACACAGTTTTGACCACCAAGACATGATATGTAGTCTTTTTGTGTGGTAACTTTACAAGTGTGTTTGTTCTCTTGAACATTATCAGGTATGTGTGAGTGTGAATCTTGGAGTTGCTGATAATGCTGCTGAAGGCCCACAAATACAGCCAGCACTCTAATGCAGATGAGGCAGAAGGGAGGGAACCTAGTTCTTGACTGTTCCTCATTGCTTGATTTAGCTCTACCTTTATACTTTATATTATGAAAAAAAAAAAGTCCTCTCAACTTGAAGATCTGACTTTATTTGGAGTCTTTTCAGATTACCATAGCCAGCAAGAGGACATTTTAGTGGTAAAATATACCACTCCTGTGTTTTTCTAGTGAACATACTCGGTGTGTTGAAGCGAGTTTCTTCAATATTGGGTTTTATATTGGTTTTATATTGCTGTTTAGGTATCTGAAGTAGTTGATATAGTTACCAATTTTTGCTTAATATTTACAAATTTAGGCTGGGGAGATGGCTCAGTTGGGTATAAAGAATACAAGTATGAGGGCCTAAAATTAGATCCTCAGTACTCATATAAAAAGCTAGCACACCTATCTGTAACTTCATGCTGGGGTATGGAAACAGGAGGATCCTAGGAACTTTCTCTTCATCCATTTTATCCTAAATGGTGAGCACCAGGTTTAATGATATAGAGAGGGGACAGGAACGGTGGCTCAGTGGGTAGAGGTATTTGCCAACAATCTTGACTTCTGAGTTCAATCACTGGAACTCACATGGTGGAAGGAGAACTGATTCCTGAAAATTGAACTCCCACATATGTGCTATGGTGTGACATGTGCACTTGTGTAGACACAAGTAGACAAATGTGAAAATAATGTAAAAAAATATGGAGCACAGTAGAGGAGATATCTGCTATCAACCTGACATCCGCACGCATACACAGATGAGTATTTCTGTATGTACACACAATTTTTTCACTGTTTCTCAACAGTTTGTGTAATTTTACAGTTTTGTAATTAAATAAATATTTTAAAAATTTTTTATTGGATATTTTATTTACATTTCAAATATTATCCCCTTTCCAGGTCTCCCTTCCGGAACCCCCTATCCCATCCCTCCACCCCCTGCCTCTCCACCACTCATCCACCCACTCCCGCCTTCCTGCCCTGGCATTCCCCTACATTGGGGCATCAAACTCCCTCAGGCCCAAGGGCCGCTCCTCCCACTTATATCCAACAAGGCCATCCTCTGCCACATATGTGGCTGGAGCCGTGGATCCTTCCATGTGTACTCTTTTGTTGGTGGCCCTTTCCCCTAAATAAATATTTTTATCTTACTCACTGAATTTCATTTCATGGCATGTCACTGCCATACCTCAGTTTAATTTCTATTATTATTAATGAACTGGTTAATTATTTTTGTTTTATCTGTTAGCTTTACTCATTATTTAGTAAATTATTCAGTCATGTCTTTTGTGCCATATTTAGTAGCCATATTTAGTGGAACATGGGAAGAATAATGTCTACATTATTGAATTGGTAAAGTTAAAGTGAGACATTTTCTAAAATTCTATAATTACAGAGTTATATTCTGACAAATCAAAGGCCTTTCTCAAATATCTGCAAAGTTTTCCCTATCTTCTGCCTTTAATGGCTTTTACACAAAACTGTATTTAAACTGTAGTCAACTTTCTAATTGTGTTTCAACAGAGAACAAAAGCATAGAGAGATAGAGTTAACATATATACATACACACACAGAGACATAAGTTATTGTGGCAACAATATAAAATAACAAAAATATCATGATAATAGTCTATAGAATGCATTTTCAATCAAAAGTTTCTTTCATATTTATTAATTTCTCTGTGAACCATACCAAGTCATTGGTATAAAAACAGTGGCCATTGTAGTTTTAAAAAAAGACAAAAATGTATGCAAGGTGAAAAAGCTTAAAGCAGCTGGGCAGTGGTGGTGCACGCCTTTAATCCCAGCACTTGGGAGGCAGAGGCAGGCGGATTTCTGAGTTTGAGGCCTTCCTGGTCTACAGAGTGAGTTCTTAGACAGCCAGGGCTATACAGAGAAACCCTGTCTCGGATCCCCTCCCCATCCCCCCAAAAAAGCATAGAGCATCAGGTATGGTGGTGCACACCTTTAATCCTGGCAGGAGGCAGAGGTAGGTGAATCTCTGTGAGTTTAAGACCAGCTAGGACTACTTAGTGAGAGCCTGTCTCAAAAAGGAGAAAACAAAACAAAAAGGAAAAAACAAAACAAACAAACGAAAAAACAAAGCATAAGACACAGCCATTAAAGATGCTTTTATATTATTTTTCTTCCAGAAACACGATCAGGGGCAAGTTCTGTTGGATATAGTCTTCAAGCATCTTGATTTGACTGAGCAAGACTATTTTGGTTTACAGTTGGCTGATGATTCCACAGATAACCCAGTAAGTTTAAGCAGTTGTCTTTCATTTCTTTGTAATTTTTTCTCTGTGTCCATTATATAAAGCCCTTTTTGATTCAATGAGTTTTAATATTTTTAATTGAATAATTAGACTCAAGTCCTTTGCCTGTTGTACTTTTCTTGGTGTTTTAAGGTATATGAGTCCATTCCTGTTAGTTATTTATAGCTATGAGTCAACCTATAGGTATAGTACTAGTTTCATTGTATCTCAGACACCTAAAAAGTAAGACTAAGGCCTATTGCTCTAGAGAGAGAATACCATGCATGAAGGATAAGTTACCTTTATATTAGTGGTTCTCACCTGTGGGTAGTGGCCCCTTTGGCAAATCTAGCTCCCAAAATATTTACATTATAATTGTAACAGTAGCAAAATTATAGTTATGAAGTAGCAATGAAAATAATTTTATGGTTTGGGGTCACAACCTGTATTAAAGGGTCTCAACATTGGGAAGGTTGAAAACCATGGCTTTAGGTCTATATAAGTATACTAAAATGACATTTTGTGTTCTTTGAATATATTTATAATTTTAATTATATTATTTGAATAACTTATAAGAATTTTTTTTATAAAGACCCTTCTCACATGAGATACTCCACTTCAGAGCTGCACAAATCCTCAGTTTTAAGCTCCTCGGTTTCCACCAACTCTTTAGTATTCCCATTTGTGGTTCTTAGAACCATGAGGTCAGAGAAATAGAAAAAAAGATACGGTATATCATAGATATGCTTACTTTGACAATTAAGCATTATAAACTGCACTAAAGAAATACACTTATGCCGGGGCAGTGGTGGCACACACCTTTAATCCCAGCACTTGGGAGGCAGAGGCATGCGGATTTCTGAGTTCAAGGCCAGCCTGGTCTACAGAGTGAGTTCCAGGACAACCAGGACTATACAGAGAAACCCTGTCTTGAAAAACAAACAAACAAAATAAAAAATAAAAATGTTTAAAAAAAAAAGAAATACACTTATGAACCTAGATGAAGGATATGCTAACATCTTAGCTGCATTCTTTGCAATTTTATGTGGTTAGAGTGTGATAGAATTGACAAAAATATGCTATCATTTTGATTAATATAATAAAATTCTGATTTTTGTTTTTTAATTTCTCTATTTCAAACACAAAGTATTGCTTATGTAGCCCATACTGGCCTCAAACTCAGTTCGTAACCTATCAGTGTTGAAATTATAGGTGTGTGCTACCACACCTGGTCAAGAGGAGTGTATTTTGAAAGAAACATTTTATACTGTTTAGAAAATTGTAGATTGAAGACAAGGTTCTGGTAACCAGTGTTTTAATAGTCTGTTTATTGGCTTGGAGGGATGGCTCAGCTAGCTTCCTCTTCTTGCAGAGGACTTGTGTTTATTTTCCAGCACCTATATGACAGCTTGCAGCCCCTGTAACTCTAGTTCTATGGGTCTAATGGCCTCTTCTGACCTCTGTGAGCTCTGACACACATGGTATACATAGACTTATGTGGGCAAACATACATATGTATAAATTAAGTAACTTCCAAATTCCATTTATAAGCCTGTTTTAATAGAATGGTTATAGAATTTTAAATCCTCTTAAAAGAGAGGCACTGGAAAATTTTCAGTGTAACACTCATATTTTTAGGAGTCATTATTTGAATCCAAGGAGGTAAGTCCTGAGTTACTTCTGACATTAATAAAACTAAAAACTTGGTCCTTTTAATTCCCTTGCTCATTTTTTTTTTTAAACACAGAACCGTTATTCCTATCACAGAACTTTATATTTAAATATTCCAAAAGACCTATCTAAATTTAAGGAAGTGTTTTAGGAGTTCAGTCCTTATAGTGTCCCACTATTAATTGGTGTGTGTGTGGCTCGCACGTGCACATGTTGCATGTATATGAATGTGTGGGTGTGAAGGACAGAACAGGAAGTGGGATGTCTTCCTCTAGGTATTCTCTACCTTGTTTTAAGAGAGGATTTCTCACTGAACTGGAAGCTTACTGTTTTGGTGAGGGTGGCTTACCAGCAAGCTTTCACGTTTACCTGTCTCCATCCCTAATGACTGGGGTTATAGGCAGAAACAGCCATGCCTAGTTTTTATGTGGGTTATAAGGGTTCAAATTCAGGTCTTCATGCTTGTACAGTAAGAATTCTTACCCATTGAGCCATCTCCCCAGCCCTCCTGATTGTCACAGTGAAATTATCTTAAGGCTTTTGAGGATAATTAATATATTAAAAGAAATGGATTCCATTCTTTAAAGAAAAAGGAAAAGGAATATTTATGAAGCATCTATTGTATATTTATTAATAACTGTTTTGCATATAATTCTTACTATATATAAAAGTATCATTGTGTTTTTAAATGAAAAATAAATGCTTCAAAAGTATAAAAATTTAATGAAAAATTGATTAGTTAAATAACCAAGAAACCTAGATAAGTCCATTCTAACAAAGCTTATGCTTTCTTTTCAGCTACAGTTTGCTCAAGAGATAATAGGCCTAGTGGATGGCTCAGCAGCTAAATGTACTTGGCATGTAAGCCTGCTGAACTGAGTTTCATTCTTGGAACCTCTGTGAAAGGTTGAAGAGAAAACTGACTCACAGCACTGCCCTCTGACCTCCAAATGCATGCTGTGGTGTGCATTCACCCCATACACAGTTAAAGAGAAAAATGATGATAAACATGTACGTTTTAAGGGGAGGCAGGAACATGAAATGAGATTGTCATCACTGATCAAAGGAATACAGAAAAACTAAAAATTCCCATCTGTTTTTAGTTTTAAATCTAAAATATGTGTGTTGTATGTACTATGTATATGTGTATATTATATATATAAATTACACATATACACTAGTTTTTGAAGATAGAAGTTATTCTTACCTTTGGCAAATAGGTATTGAAATTTAATTGAATTTATTAAAAAATGAAAAAGACATCTTTTATTTTTGTTTTACAGAAAATACAAAACCTTATCTTACTCTCTTTATCATCTTTCTTGCTTACATACAGATAAGCTTTGGGTTTTGAAGTTTGTAACCTTAAACATTTACCACAGTTTTAGCATTTCTCATAATATATTTGGTTTGGTTGGCTGATTTGTTTTGTTCTTTTGTCTTGTGTTTTTTCTCTTTGTCTTTTGAACAGGGTATCATCATGTAGACCATGCTTACTTAGAACCCTCAATCTTGTCTCAGTTTCTACTGCTGGGTTATAGGTGTGCTCTACCACTGATTTAATATAATGTACAATAATAATCTGTACTAAGTATATTTTATTGAGAAAGCAATGAATTATATAATATTCATTATCTATAATTTTAAAAGTAGTTAAGATTCATTTATCATCATGCTATTAAGGCTTTAAGTTTATTATTCTTGTGCATTTCCCTATTTTTGTTTCTTTTCTACATTGAATGACAATGTCTGTCAGTAGGACAGAGATTAGATTATAGATAACTGTTAGCTTGATTTTCCTTCAGGTTCTCCTGACAGTTTGCATTGTGGACATACTTTGTTGGTTCCTCTCTAACTTTGTGATTTTCAAACTTTGGATTACATGAAAATTATGTAGGAGGAGATATAGGACAGGTCACAAAGAAGAAGATGGTCATTATTTTTACCAATTTGTGATTTGGCATAAGTGGCTAAAATACTTGCTTGTATTTCAAATGTTAGTGTTCTGTTTTCTTTTGAAAGATATGTTTCTTTTGTCATACTTCAGACTCTTATTTCTGATTGCACATGTTTCTTTGGTAGCCTGCTGAGTGACCTTAGTAGTGATAGTGGGCACTGTCTTAACCTTTTTTGGGGAGAGAATGACAGAAGTACTCAAGAATCAGGATATTTCAGAAAGATGCAGCAGTATGTACAGAAATTCAAGGTTTTCAAGGTGATCATACAAGAATGCTACATTTGAGGAATCTCTTGAAATTCCATTTGACCGTAATGCAGCGATGGGTAAAAGATGGGCTTTAAGCAGTACATGAGACTATGAAGTTCCTTTTAATCCTATATCTGTCTGCTTATAGTGTAGCCATTGACATAAGGTAGCAAATTAAAGACAGTTGGAAGGTTGTTGGAATAATGAAATCACTTTGAGAAGTAATAGCTAAGAGTTGTGGTGCACACACACATTTACTCTCAACACTTGGGAAGCAAAGGCAGGAGGACCTCAGAGATTGAGACCACCCTAGTCTACAAAGTGCGTTCCAGGGTAGCTAGGGCTACACAGAAACCCTGTCTCAAGGGAAGAAAGAGAAATAGTAATTGGGAATGAAGGAAAGTGAGTGAGTGCTGGAGCTAAAGTAGGAGACAAAGTCATAGGATGTGTTGATGTGGCTATCAGTAGTTGAGTGAGGATTCAGGGAAGAGACTTAACTCTCCTCATTCCAGCAGCATTTTGTAAATTCTAGGTGATTTTTTTTTACCTTATTCCTTTGTATAAACCCCAGGGCTTCCAATTAATTATGTGATAATCTTGTATTTTTGGCAAACCTTTTTATATCATGTAGGCACTTTTACCTTTTCTTGTCCAGTCTGTATTCTGCTGTTTGTTCATCATTATTTCCTGTTCATTGTGGTACAGCAAGGGATCACTAGGACATGGCTTAATAGCAGTGACAAGGGAGGTTTGTCTTTTTCCCCATCTGAACCTTTTGCCACCACGAGCATTTAGGTATTTTGTTTTTGTTTTATAAAGCTTAATAAGCGTAATTTAAGCATTATTTATGTAAAATAAAATTTAGTATCCATTCATAGTGAAAAACCAAGCCAAAAGTACCCTTTCAGTATGAAAAGCAATATTTGCTAAACACTGACTGATTTGCCTTAGGGAAATGAAAGGTTATATGCATCCACTGGAATCAATGAAGTAAATATTCCTAGTTGTTCTGCTGGCAGAGATAAGAATTTCAAGGTGACACACTCAGCTACTTGAGACACTGAGTTTAATCAGAACTCCAAGGACTATGAGTAGTATGAAAGAGTTCAAGATCAGCTTTGATGAA